CCAGATGCCTCCCTGGAGACCAGAAGAGGGCATTGGGTCCCCTGGAGCTGGAGATACAGGCAGTTGTGAGAACCTGACATGAGTGCTGAGACAGAACTCAATTCCTTTACAAGAACAGCAAGTGCTCTTAACTACACAAACACATTTTGAATTCTCAGATACCTCTCCTCCTACTGTGGCTTTTGATTTGGGAAGCTATACCTCTGAGTCCCTGTAATGTTATAAGCACCTTAATGAGCAAATAAACAAGTATTTGCTGCTGACCAGGATGTGGTTTCCCAAGTTTATAGATGATAAGCCAGCCAAAGGAGGTTAAAATATTCATTATAAATGCAGTCCTGACACTATCTACCCACAGTATTTACAGATTTCATACGTTAAGGGCACAGTTCCCAGCAGGATTGCCCTTGCTTCTGATATAAGCCACAAATTTTAGGGTGCCAAACTTCCATACTTTGGACTAACAAGCTATAAATTCAAGAGTTCCCTCAGGTTTGAAAATTGAAAAAAAAAATCTAGATTTATTTATTTTGTGTGTGTGTGTGTTTTGCCTGCATGTGTGTATGAGTACCCATGTGTGTTCCTGGTCCCCTCAGTGATCAGAAGAGAATGTCAGACAGATCCTCTGAATTAGACTTACGGATGGTTGTCAGCCACTATGTAGCTTTTGGGAACTAAGCTGGATCCTCAGCAAGGACAAAAAGTGCTCTTAACCACTGAGCCATCTTTTCAGCCTCATTAGTTTTGAAACTTACTGGAATGACTTGTGGAACTAACTCAGTAAAGTGGTGTACATGTCTGATTCAGTGTATAAATCAGGGTCAGTTGAATGAAGAGACTTTGGAAGCTGAAACAAGGAGAGGTCTATATGCACCCACTTCCATGACAAAGGAATCGGGGCCTGTTACTCTTGGAAATTTGGACTCTAGTGATGTTATTGGGGTTTCACTATGTGAACTTAAGTAATTGAATTCCATAAGACTTAGTTCAATATCTGTCTTCCCTTCTTGAAGGTTAGTAAATGACTCATAGCTCAACTTGGCAACAACATGGTTGATCTTTTCTAGCCTGTCTTGCTTTCATCCTGAATTGTTTCATTAACATTATCAGTGACCCATTGAGTCACCTCAGCAACATAAAGTATCAAACACACCAAAGATAATTTCTCTTGAGAAATTCTAGCAGTCAAAAGATTCTCTTCCAGTAACCACAGCAAACCCGGACAAATTATCACGTTACATTGATTGCACATCTAGTGAGTGGCAGCCAGTACTGAGTCCAGTTCCAATTCTGAAGCTCTCTCTTCGCTCTTACTCATAGATAAGTGGTTTGTTAAAGGTCACCCAGCTAATTACTAATCCTGACTGTCAATATGTGTTCCTTTCCCAATGCAGTTTTGTTGTTGTTGTTGTTGTTGTTTTCCAACAATGGGACACATTTGTCTTATTTCCAGTAAATTTTGGATTTGGTATTATAAAATACAATTCTCTAGCTAAGATGCATCAGTTTAGTTATCTGACATCACCTAATGATATTCATATACTTAAAATCAAATAAACCAATACATTAAGAAAGTTATGCTTTTTTATCTTTTTTAACTTGTTTTTTTTTTTTATAAGTAAGAAATGCTAAAAGAAAACCCAGTCTTATTTCTAGTGTGCATGATGCTATTTTTCTGTACCTGGCTGTACACTTTTGTTTCTGGGTACCATCCACTGTATTTTCCATGCAACTGGGCACCATTACACTTGGAAAAAAAGTTACCACAACAGTACACAGCATTATTGTGGGCAAGTTGTGGATAGATCAGGTAAGCAAAGGTACCCAAAGTGCCTCTGAACTTCCAGAGCACCTCTTCAGGTAATCTGGGTTTGGCTATTTAGGACCCAGTAACTGGTCCCACACTGTTTTTACTGGATCACCAGTTTCTCCTAAGGATTTTTCCCTCAGGCAGTAGACCTACCTCCATATAATTCTATCTACAAATTATTACTTAAGAATGACCAAATTATAAGTTCCATCAGTGACTACTGGGACTCTCCGGGCAATATAAAGGAATATAAGACATAGTTAGATGGCCCCAGCTCTTAATATTTTTGCTATTCATGAAATGTTTATTGCCAGGCATTGTCCAGGTACTATTGTTACAAAGTCAGAGAAGCCCCTCCAGGGATGATTGTATCACTGAAGAAATATGACAGTGAAGGTTGAAAAGTATGTAACAAATAGCCAAGAGATAAGCTAAGAGACTAGCTAGTTAAGTGTTAACTTTGGACTAAGACAGGTTTAGCTACAATCAGAAAAGGGGCTTCATGATAGATATGGAATTAGGCTGAGTCTTTGAAAGATAGAAAGGAAAGGAAAAAAAACGAAGCCTATACGAAGATCTGTAGAACATTGAAACTGTATTGTGTTAAGCAGAGGGAATTCTAGAAGGGTCCTAATGAGGGGGACTGTTCAGGAGGGTAGATTATTACATGTGCATTTCAATACATGTACTGAAGGTCAGCTTCTGTTACCAACATGTGACACATAAAAAAACATTGTTTGACCTTAATTCCAACCTGAAATAGCATGATTGTCAGAGGGATACCATAGTGCCCCAGGTCTGGCTAGGACTTGTCCTTTAAACAAGGGAGTACTCACATTTAAAATTCATGTCAGTCTTCAAAAAACTAATCCATGATTCTTTTCACTTTATAGTCTGTGGTGAGATTGACATCGTAAATCACAAGACAGGAGACAAGTGTAATCTTAAATTTGTTCCTTATAGCTACTTCTCTCGGGATGTAGCAAGAAAGGTAAGAGAGGTTGAAATGTAAATATTTTTCATTTAGTGTGCATCCCTTAGAAGTGCCAGTGTGTGTGCATATGTATAGAGATAGGTAGAAAGACATGCATCCTAAATATGAGGGTCAGAAAAGTAGATGTAAAGAAGAAAACCAGAAAAGGAACCAAATGCACTGCTGAGCCACTTTCTTCTCTGAATTGCAATGATGAAGTCAAAGACAAGTTCAGGGGCTAGAAAGACAGATGTTCAGTGGTTAAGAGCACTGGCTGTTTTTCCAGAGCACCTGAGTTCAATTCCCGTATAATGTAGTTCAGACTCTAGCTCTAGGGGATTTGACACCTTCTTCAGATCTCCAAAATGCACCTGTGTACATGTGGCTTACATACACATACCAAAATCAATTTATTTTTAAAATACAAGCAAAAAAAAAAAAAAATCCCAGCAGAGTGGCTATGGGAATATGGAGGAGAGGGAGAAGATGCAGACAGTAGAATCACTGTGATATGCAAGGACAGATGTCTGTTACTGCCACAGGGTGACCTGGTCACACACTCAGATTTTCATGTACAAATGAAGACTAGCAGTGTAGTGGTGGCACACACATCTTTAATTGCAACACTCAGCAGGCAGAGGCAGGTGGATCCCTGCCTGAGTTTGAGGACAGCCTGGTCTACAGAGGGAGTTTTAGGACAGCCAGGACTGTTACACTAAGAAACTCTGTTTTGGAAAAATGGGGGGGGGGGGGAAATGAAGACTAGTTGGGGATTCAAATGTGTTTGTGGATCTGTGTAATTTCTAGAGTAGTTTTAAGTGTCAGTCAGGTACTTTTCCTTCTTACATACTTGCGTTGGAAATTCCTGTGCAATAAGAGGCTTTGATGATAAAACCCATCAATTCATGACTATTGTTTCAAGTAGTGTTTAAAAATCAGCAACAAGAAAACAGCTAACTCCAGGACTTACCCTAGGACTTTTTCTAAATTAGTCAGGGGTAAGCCACCTACAGTGGTCATTCTGCTTCAAAGCTGTGCTCTCCATCCTTGTAGGTGACAGGGAAGTGACTGACCCATCAGGAAAAGTTCACTTTGCCCTCCTGGGGACATGGGATGAGAAAATGGATTGTTTCAAAGTTCAACCAGCCTCTGGGAAAATGGGGGTGATGCTCGTCAGAGAGGCCACGAGCAGAAGAAAGTAGGGTCATGCTGTGGAAGAGGAACCCTTTACCGTGAGTACGGTGTACAAGCCTCCTGGGGGCTTTTAACTCTGGGGCAGCCTGGGCGTTGGTGGCGCATGCCTTTAATCCCAGCACTTGGGAGGCAGAGGCAGAGGCAGGCAGATCTCCTGTGAGTTTGTGGCCAACCTGTTCTACAGAGCGAGTTCCAGGACAGGCTCCAAAGCAATATAGAGAAACTGTGTCTCGAAAAAAAACAAACAAAAAACCTCTGGGGACAGTATGCAGGTGTTCTACCTGCTTTCTTCATGGTTATCTGTGGAACACCCCAGAGAGATCAGAACCTTACAGAGATTACCAGAGATTGTACACATGATCGGAGTTGAAGTGTGCTTTGTTTCGAGACTACCTTACCAAACATATGCCAAATTGTATTTCTCTTCTCTAAAGTCCATTGAAGAATCTCTATAATTTAGTGTTTTGTTCTGAGACAGGGTTTCATGTAGTCCAGGCTGATCTCACTGTATAGCTCAGACTCTCTTTGAAGTCCTGATCTGATCCTTTAATTGTACCTCCCAGAGCTGGATTATGGGCACTCACCGCCATGCCCTGCATTCTCACTGAGATTCAGAGCAGAACTTTACAAAAGCAGCCAGGAGAAGGGTGCTTTCCACCTGCTAACACACAGAACTTTGCAGATAAGTGCAGGCCAGTTGTCTCCTGTCATCATCTTATTTCTGTGTCTGTAGAAATAGCCAGAACATCCCAGAAAGGGGCCTAAAAGGCAGCAGAGGAAGGTAGGAATGAGGCCATTTTGAAGATTTCCTTCTCCCTGATGAGTGCAGCTCATTCTGAGTGCAGAAACCGCAGTAACTGCTGGGTGAGGTGAAGCGGTGCTGGGGAAGGGTGGGAGTGGCGCCGCTGGCTCACTTATTTGGGATTTTTCCCCTTGTGGGACACCTAGATGCAGGGCAGTGTTCCAAGATGCGCAGATTGAGGGGCTGTAGAGCTGCCTTTCCTTTGTCTTGGTTACCTTTAGGAAAACGCAGAAAACATGTACTACTTCTCAGAGCTCGCCCTCACTCTCAACGCCTGGGAAGGGGCACTGCACCCACAGACAGCCGGTTGCGGCCTGACCAGAGACTGATGGAAAATGGGCGCTGGGATGAAGCAAATGCTGAGAAGCAGCGCCTGGAGGAAAAACAGAGACTTTCCAGGAAAAAGAGAGAAGCAGAAGCTATGAAAGCCACTGAAGATGGTAACAAACCTGTCCCTGCTCTGATTTCTTGGTGCATGGCGAGTGCCAGCTCTAACCTTGCTTTTCATTTTCTTCCCTTTTAGGTACACCATATGACCCCTATAAGGCCCTGTGGTTTGAGCGGAAGAAGGACCCTGTCACCAAGGAGCTAACCCATGTTTATAGGGGTGAATACTGGGAATGTAAGGAAAAGCAAGACTGGGGGCTCTTGCCCAGACATTTTCTGAAGCGGCTGTAACTGAAAGGAAGAGGGTCGACGGAGAAGACGGCAGAGGATGTGCGGGAAGGCTGGCAGTTGGGACTCTTACCAAGTGCTTTCCCCTCAAATTTGTCTGTCTTAACCAATCACTTTTTCCAAATCAATCACCAGAAGCAGACACCCGTGGTGGTGATTGGCTGGTTGCCTTAGGCTGATTGACGCTGAAATCGACGTAGTAGATACCCATGTTTGTAAGGGAGCGGTTTAGTGGCAGAAAGTTAGTGTTACCCTACATCTGCAAAGGCAAGTAAGTGTTTGTGGTCTTCTCCCTGCCCCCATATAAGATAATGTCATTCACCCTCCCTTGTTGTATCCTGCTCAGCCAAAATCTGCATAAGATTGTGATTCATGAGCATTTTGGTGCTGTTCAGAGCAAGAACTGATTTTAAAGTTCCTTAAAAAGAAACACATAAGACTTAACCAGCAGAGGCCTCATGCACAGGTCTCATGTTAGGAAATGTGCTCACACGTGGGGTTGGTTTAATGAGGCGTCCTGTGTAGATAACTAAAGTTTTGGAGTGTCTGCTGGAGAGATTGTTCTCTAGGGCTGGAATATTGAGTTACGTTCTTGGAGATTTTATCTTCACTTACATACAACACCCCTCTGCTGTTTTCTATCCACTTTGACAGCAACCAGAGGCCCTCTTCTTTGGTAGTTGATAAGAGGGCCACACTATCTTTATAAAGGGGTTTTATGGTCTTCCCTCAGGTGGAGAACCTCTGAGAACACAGGCAGGTTGGAAGAAGACTGCTAAGCCACTTGTACCTTCCCAGTCCTTCCTCATCCTGGTTTTCATTGCCTTTCTGGCTTCTCTTCTGGCACATGACCAGTTTGGATTTGTGTCACAGACTGGAGCCAAACATTGCCTGACCCATTCTGTATACTTCAGAATCTGAAAGAAGGTTCTCTGCAACACACGTTTTCATCATCTTGAAAGTCCCATGGAATGGAGCCTCCTCTGGAATAATGTGTTAAATCATCTGTATATTATATATATATATATATATATATGTAGAGAAAAATCTAATTTTTTTTTTTTTTTTTTTTTTTTTTTTTTTTTTGTTTGTTTGTTTTCCTCTTTCCCATGAAGACACTTGGTTTTTTATATTACCTGTCTCCCCGAGGGACTCTCTCAGACGCGTGTTACTGTGGGTTGGTACCCCTCTCATTTCCATCTTTGAGGGGCATTGCAACCCCAAGCAGGGTCATGTGTGCCAGTCACTGAAAGGGGCAAAGAGGAAGGTTTGTGTCACGGCGATCCGCTGCTGCCTCAGCTCTGCTTTCCTCATCACCTGGCTCTTGGAAAGGAAGTCCTAGTCTTTTTCCTGCCTCAAGTTTCCTTCCTTAGGAAGAGTACGGGTAGAAAGTCAGGAGGGTGATTTCCAGCTTCCTTATATCCCAGCCAGCTCAGGCTAAATCCCAAAAGAGTTTTCTTCCATGGATGTGAGCTGAGAGCCCTGTGTCCTCCCTGTGGGAACTGCTGGGCCCTAGCTTCCTCCTTTCATCATTTTTTTCTGTATTAAGTTTAGTTTCCTGTTCAGAAATGTAACCCTTGTGCAACCACCCTTGGTTGAGGGTCATAAATTGAGGTGCCTTCCTTATGTACTTTTTGTTAGTGTTTTTGTTTTTGTTCCTTAACTATTGAGCCTCAGCCAGTGTGGGTCCTTGGGGAAAATATCATTCCAGAGGAAGCTATCCCTCCAGGAAATTGGATTTTATTGGGTAAATTAGTACTTTTTAGTCATCCCCCCTTCCCCTTGCCACCAGCACTCCCTCCCTAGATCAAACATGATCAAAGATTGAGCACTGGGGAATTTCCTCCCTAAGAAGGCTTTCCCCAGTACAAGGGGTTACTCCAGGAGGCCCATGAAATGGGTACCATCTCTGGAGACTTTAGCTAGAATGGAAATTTCCCATGGAACCTCATTGCTTTAGCCCCTTCCTTTATATCTGCACTACATTTCTGAGCTTGATTCCAAGAGTCCCTGCTAATGGAAGAAGCTTAGAAGTCCCGAAGATGGAATAAAGTCACATGAAAGCAAAACAAGACTATATATATTTTCATTTTTTTGCCTTATTGCTTTTTTTTCAAAAAAAAACCTACTAAATTAAATAATTTTTAAAAAGCTATATTGTCTGATTTGCTTCTACTCCTACTAGGTAAGAAATAGTGTCGGACAGAGGGAGACTTGGCCACTGGTAATTTGTTCTGTTAGGGAATTTTATGTGGATGAGTGTTTTGCGTGTGTGTGTGTGTGTGTGTGTGTGTGTGTGTGTGTGTGTGTGTGTGAGTGTGTATGTGTGCTTTGTGCATGTCTGATGGCCACAGAGGCCAGAAGAATGTGTGGAAAGATTGGGAACCATGTGGTGTCTGGAGCCAAAACTGAGGGGCCTCTTACAAGAGCAGTAAGTGCTCTCTAACAGCTGAGCCATCTCTCAAGCTCCAAGATTGCGATTCTTCAACATTGGTCCAAGTTCATGAGCAGAATAGCCTTAACACCTTGCAGTGTGACATCTGTCACTAAGCATAGAGAAACATTAACTAATAGTTCTGATTCTGGGCCTGCTTACCCTAAAAAATGTAGGGATGGAGGGTAACATAGGTAGAGGGCTTACCTAGCATGTCCCCACTTGGCCTGGATTTAATGACCAGCCCTGGAAAAAATAATTTTTTAAAAAACTAGTAAAAGTAAAGTTCTCAAAATTCTTAGCTCTTTGATGTATAGGTTCAAATTCAGCCTTTGGATTTGTACTTTGTTAGAAAGACCTTCAGAATGAAGGGGCATGCCTGTTCTCCAGCAATCAGGAAGCTGAGGCAAATTTCCCAAAGCCCAGGAGCTCAAGTCTGGGTGACTTGTGCAGAGCCTATCTCAAATAAACAAATAGAAGGCCAGGAGTGGTGGTACAGGAAAAACGGGAGCAGGAAGATTGTAAGTTCCAGACCAACCTGGGAGACACTTAGGTCCTGCCTCAAAAGCAAAAAGACCTTTTCCAAGCAATGACAACATTTCACTTTTTTTCCTCTGCAAGAGTCCAGGCACTGGAAGAGGATGAGCATAGTAGGATATGGGCCCGAGAAAGTGCTCCTGTTAGAGAATGGAAGCAAAGGATCCTGCCCATGAGGATCCCTAAGTACAGAGAGCTGGGCCACATAAATTTTAAAAGGAAACTATTTGGATCATTCTGGTGGTGGAAAAAAAAAAAAAAAAAAAAGGCACTCAGAAAACTAAATTTGTCCAGGCACACATGGCTGATTGATTAGTCAGGGTTGGAATTCAAAGCTGGGTGTGGTTATGACCTCTGTTAGCGATCCTTTGCCTAGGAAGTAAATTACTGGCTTAGAAGTGGTTCAGTCTTCTCATGTGACTTTGTGGCTGTGTCACCTACTGCCACTTGGCTGTACAGGCTCATAAAACTAGTGCCATTTCTTTTAAGGCTCTGCCCCCAAGGAACATTGTAGAAATTCAGCCTCCAGGACTCTAGATTTTTCAGATTCATGTCAACAAAATTAGCTGTGTTATCATCGATTTGTTTTTGTACCAGGTTCTTTGAGAAACCACTCATCTGTTCAATTTGCCTGATTACTATTACAAGATCGAATGCTAAATTGCTGTAAAGTTTTGTTATGTTGTTTTCTGGTAAGGTAAAAACCATGGCAGTAGCTACAAGGCATAACATATCTGTGTTTGTATCTGGAGCACCATTTTATAATTTGATTCCTACATTAGGGACGATCAAACAGCCACAGTGTGTAATGACCCCTCTTTGATCTAATAATGTGACATGATGAGTTGAGATGTGGATCCCTAGGGTCATAATCCAACATGATCCAACCTTATGACTCAGCAATGTTTCAAACCAATGCATTCACAGACATTTAAAGTCCCACAAGTGGTTATGCAGGCTTTCTTCACAGAGATGTTCCCCCATGCTGTTTTAGGCAAGTAAGAATAATTTGGACATTTATCATTTTGTTTGCCTTCCCCAGCCTTCATTTCTACACAGTTGAAAAGCAACAGAGGAGATCCATCCTGAAGGGGAAAGAACAGATGATACTGAGAAGGACAACAACCACTGTTTCCCACATTCAAGGAATTAGACCCTGCTGTCAGGTAGTGATAATGAAAGGAACAGAGAACAACTTACACCCAAACACTGCTGAACATTTACTCCACTGTCCCAGAGTTCTCCCACATGGACTATGTGCGATGTCAAGGTCAAGGTCCTTACTCCCTCATTATCCAGATCTCGAAGGAGACTCATCTTTACAGCCTACAGCAGAGAGGACAATCTTAGCATGGTAACCTAGGTGCTTCTCTTCCCTTGTTTATAAAAAGTCATTGCATTCACACATACTCACAAAACTTGTTCAGTCCATACACTTCAAGGGTTTGCTCTCCAGGGTCAATAAAATAAAGTTTCAAAGGTGGTACAGAAAATCTTTGGATTTCATTCGTTGTAGATGTACACACCTGTGAATCCTAGCCATTTGGGACATGGAGGTAGTAGGGTAGTTCAAGTTCATTCTTAACAACATACTGAGTTGGGTCTCATGAGAACCAGCCAAATAAATAATAAAAAGCACACAGCATTTGTCCCTTGCCCACTGAAATTATCTGGAGCCTTGTGTGGTTTCTGGAGCACCTGTGGTAACTAGCTATAGTCCCTCAACATTTTCAAATTGCTGCTGCTCTGGTTCATTGTTCTATTCAGGAAAGGAGCTGAGAGGCCCAGTGAGGGGTCTTTAAAGAGGAGAGCCTAAAGAGCTCAAGGGCTGTGGGTGTAGCTGTAGAACTGAGTGTGTAATGTAAGGCCTGGGTTTGGATCCCCAGCACCATGATACTCAACCTTCCATAAATAACTAGGAGAGGTCACTGCCTCTGAGCTTGACCATGTGATTTTAGAGGGTTACTAAAAGCAAGTTCATTTTAGGATATGGCTAGGGAATGTTTTTAGTCATTCATTCATTCACTCACTC